CGGGGCCCGGCGTTTGCAACCGCTCGCCCGGTGCCGAGTGGTTTTGCCTTTGAGCTGGCGGCACTTGCTTTTGTTGCGGTGGGTTTCGCACTGGCTTTCTCCGGCCTCTCGCTTGGGTCCCCCATCAGCCGCTTTGGAGACGTAGGACCTCTGTAGCTCCTCGTCCGGGAGAGGGGATGAGGGATAGCGGCGGCAGCGCCGCTCCGGTTACCTCCCCCCCCGCTTGCGTGTGCCCGGTCTCTGGGCCGGGCCTGGTTTATGTGTTCGGCGGTACCAAACCCGAAGCGAGCTACGATGTTAAATCCTCTGAGGGGACTCGCTTTCAAGTTTTGCCGGCGCGTTGCAAGCTGAGTGTCTGTGTATTGCAGACCTCAACATGACTATGTACGTGTATGTACGTTTGTAGACTGTGAAGAGGCTGCTGAAAATACCCCTTTGTCACAATTTTAAGTATGTTCAGGAATTACTGGACTTACAGTTCCGTGTTGACAGCACTAGTTACGAGTTCTGTGTCTTTGGCCTCTTTAAATGTGGTGGATTTTCATTTTGCATTTTACTCACTGAATATATGTTTTTGAATCATGTAATTTTCCTTGAATGATTATGATAATGTATGTTTTTAATGTAGTAGTGTGGTCATAGAATTTCTTCCTTTTAACTTAAGATAGAGTAGTGTAGTCCCTAAATATCTATTAGGATGATTGACTCTACCAATTATTCAAATAAAACACTATTGCAGCACTCTGGCACTGTGTTCTCAAAAGTGTACTGCATCTTTGGTATTGTGGACAACTTCTGAAGGCAGGGAACCAGGCTTCTAAGGTATTCATTTAAAGTGAACAGAGGGGGATTTGGCCAATGGTACAAGCAGGGTGGCTTCCCTGGATATGGTGAGGGTTTTAAAAACTGAGATGGCTAATTTTCTGCAAATAAACATTCTTTCCTGGTTTTGTCTTGGTTTGATGTGCCAGGGTAAAGAAAGGTAGAAAACACCATATCAAATTTCACTTATTTGTAATCCTTGTTCTTTACTAGTTAATACTCAGTTACTGCAAACAGCGTTCCTTGATGATTATTTGAAATCTGTGACTTGAAGCATCAGTATAAATTGTCCTTGCTTGGAGTGCAAAGTAAAAAAAATGTCCTTAAACTTGGATAAGAAGGGTAGAGGGAAATTATTCTACTTTGTTTCAATTCCACAGGCTTCCAGACAGTGTTTTTGCAACTGCCCCAAGCCCTCGGTTTCTCATGTGTGGTTGCTTATACAGAACTTAATTTGAAAGCATGGAGCTGATGGTGGTGAGGAAAGCCTTAACTTGTGCGAGCCTCCTGTCCACAGCAGAATCCTGCGCTGATGACTTTGGCTTGGTGCACAGCACTCTGCGTGCTTAGCTGTGCGTGGTGGGAGCCAAGGGAATCAGCGTGCCAGGCAGAGCCACCTGGCCACCAGAGAGTGTGTGATGAAACACTTGAGGCTACCCCGTGAGAAATATTTAGAGAAGCTATCTGAGATTCTGCCTACTGTTCGGGTCCAAGCAATTTCTTCTTTTCAGAGATGACAGTCAGAAAGTTTCTTCTTGAGTTTAGGTGCTCTACTTTATTCCAACAATCTGTGTGTGCTTCAGCATACTTATTTGGGAAGTGGAAACAGAATAGATCCTGCCTTATACATTTCAGGTTTTGGCAATTGTCTCACCTCTTTGGAGTGCCCTGCATGACAGGTTTGGAGCCTAGCCCTCTTCCTTTGCCTCTGGTGAAGCAGTGTCACTGTTCAAAAGGCGTTAACAGACAAATTGAACGTAAGGAAACTGAAGGAGGAGTTAAAACCCATTAAAACCCCAGTGGTTTGGGTATTGTCCCTCCTTGTGTTTTCCAAAAAAAAACATTGGCATGTAAAACTTTTGAGGAACCTGATTCATTTGCTGTCAGGAAACCAGACGGGGTTAATATTTGTTCCCAAAACCAAGCTCGAGAAGGGGTCTAGACACAGAGCTAGCTATTCTTCTCTGTCAAAACGGCATTTTCTGCACAAAGACTGGCTTGCTGCAATCTAGAGAATGTGATGATAAAGCAGGGCATTTCAAAAGCTTAGATGACTGACTCAGACAACTGTTTATTACAGTTTTTGGAAAATTGTTTTAGGCTTTTGAACAAAAATTGCCATCTTAATAGTAGCTTAAGTATTTCTCTGTTTCTAGAACCAGGTAAATTTTGAAATTTACATCTGGTTTAGTTGATATGTGAGCATAATAAGCTTTTCTGAATGGGCTATAAAATGTAAAGTGTAGTAGGCACACTATTCTTGAATTTGTGGGAAATGAAGTGCCTGCAAGAGAGACCGCCTGTGCTGCCCTCCCTTAGCACTTTCCTTATTTCACTTGTAAAGCAGTGACTTACAAGAAATGTTGTGAGGATTCTTTAGGTGTGAATAACTGATGTGATTGAATAGATCCTGCTTCCTGCTTAACGGACAGCCTTGTAAATGACTTTGCTGCTGCCTGCACTGGGCTATGTCTTGAGAGGTGTGAAGAAGATACTGCTTTCACTCCCTCTAATCACAAGAGTCGTCAGTGTCTCGCAGGACAAACCAGTAAGATGATGTGGATCCTCTCTTTGGCACCTTTCCATCTGTCTCCTCATTTGTGTGGGACTGTATTTTCCACCTAAAACTCAGAATTATTTTTGTTAGTGCAGGACTATGCTGCTTAAAAAACAAAGATGATGAAAAAAGAAGGATCTTTTGCATTCTTAAATTGTTGACTTTCCAATATGAAGCTACTTCAAGTGTATCTTTATACTTTCAAGTTTCAAGAATCTGATAGAAAGATAAACAAGACTGACTCAAAGCTGTCTCGTTTCCTGTGTAATGGTTTGAATCACTGAGTTGTCTAGTTGAAGCTAAATATTGGAAGAAGAAATAAACAATAGGTATCTCTTTATTTTCTTATGATGATTAAATATGTTTAAAAGGAATACAAAAAGACAATTTTTTTTCCCACTGTTAGTGATCAGTAAATACAAACAGTATGTACATATGCCTTTTAAAATAGAAATGCAATATTTCTTAGTGGATTCCAATTCAGTTAAACAAGTGAGGGTCAAAATAGTTTATAAATAACTTCTGGATGAAGTTAGTTATTCCTCTGTTGAGAGAAACTGAATTTAAAAGTGCCTGATGGCAGAATCCTTATTCTGAAACGTGGAAGGATTATGAGGGATTTAGTTCTTAAAATCTCTGAGGCGCAAATTGTTGAAAACTAAAGAATACGCTGGATAAATACTATATATTTGCTTCTGAATTCTTCTCCCTGTGTTGGTCCATTTCTTGGGCTCTTGATGTATGAGATTTGTTTGGGTTTTTTGAAGGTATTTTTTTCGAGGCAAGACTTTTTTGTAATTGTACAGCAGGAGCTGCCACTTTTTATGGGACCTCAGGGTGGTTTGCAAAGGGTACCTGTGAGTGTGTGCTTAGAGCTGCCCCATATGCCTGAAAACAGAGAGAGACTCCCCATTCTTGGATTTAGGCACAGATCTGAGCAGAATTAATTTGGGCCACGTACAGTGACTTTGTAATGTGCTGGTGAAGACAGAAGATAGAGAAGCTGGGAAAACAATTCCCTAAGAGGCTTTCCAATGGGTGATCTGTATGCAGTGGACAAAGTTTGATAGGGAAGAGTGCTCTGCACAGCTAAAATGCATCATAAAGCGTTTCGTCAGGTCAGGACCATCTACTGCCACGTGGCACCACAGTATTCAGCTACTTTCATCACTTGTGCTGGAATGCAGAGCAGCCACCTTCCTCCACTTGCACCCTGAGAAACTTTCTACCCAGCGCTATTTTGGCTGAAAGCAGGAACATTCCTCCTATACCCTGAGGTTTTGGGTTGTGAGCTCAGTTCTGTCAAGTCTTGGCCTTTGTATTTGGTGCAGCAGGGGAGGAAAACAGACATCCTTGCTACCTAGTGCTGGTCTCTGCAGGCAGCTCCATGTGCTCAGGCTTCTGGTGACTATTTCTTACTGCTATTTTTGTTGGAAAATAGAGAGTTACTGAAGAATGCTGGTTTATTCCAGGGAGTATTTTTGCACTTGTACAAAAAAAAAAAGAGTGAATTCTCATTCCTGTTCTCTGAAGTGTTATTAGTCAATGGTTCTTTCCAAGTCTGCCATCAAGAAGTTCAGCAGACAGGAAATCCTCTTGGCAATTGGAATAAAGCCATTCCCAATCCTATTTCTGACCTAGTAGAAGAGGTTAAGTCTTTCTTCTAACAAAGTGGACTGAACCTAATCTAAACCCAAGACCCAGACTGATGTTTGAGTTGCCCAAACCCCTATTCTTTTTCTTGGCCAGTTCTCTTAGTGTGTGGTGGTGGTTGATCACTCAGATACTGGTCTAGGCAGGCTTTTGTTCTGACCTGGTGTGGATATTATTATGTAACCGTAAAGACTGTTGTAATCCACATAATAACAAAGCATAAAGGCCACTCAGATCACTTGGGCCACAGTACTTTTTTTCTTAAGCACTGATTGTCCATTTTTTAAGGTTTTCCTTAGTATAATCTGCACTTACGAAACAGCTTAGCTGAACATATCATGTATGGCGGCACACAGTCTTAGGAATTTTCTGCAACAAAAATGTTGTTCTACTGACACTCTGGTACATGTAAAAAAAAGTAAGGTAAAACAGTTCATATAGCACTCATAATAACTTCTAGAAAAGAAATGGACAATCACTAAAGATTTAGAAAGAATCCAAAGGCTGAGTGAAAACTAATGCCATTCTTACCAAGGAGCGGGGAGAGGGAAATACTGCATGAGGACCTTAGTTGAAGTTG